CACATGGCTTCCCACCAAGATGCTGTTTCTTAAAGCAGCATGTAAAAATCTCAGTTCTAAACCTATCAATAAGTCACCCCAGCCAGATATCCCTTTGGTATCACTCACTTTTTGGTTTGTGCCTTCTTCTACCACTTAGCTTTGCAACTCCACCCGCTCCTTCTTGTGCACCACCCTCTGCCGCCTCATCTCCACCCTTGCTCAAACATGCTGCTTTCATAACAGCATCCATCAAGCACCCGCCCGAGAGCATGCTCACGCACCCCAGGCATGAGATTAAACCACCATCTCCTGCGTAGAAACCCCTCCGGCATGGTGGATTCCATTTGGAGCAGGATTATCAAGGGCAAAGTTTTACCCTCCCTTGGTTTTGCCCACTTAGTGGAACTGAAATGAAGCAAAGTCCCATTCGGGGAGTTTCCTTTTCAATTCTGCCATCGAGAAGGCGTTCCCATCCCATATCTCCATCCCACAGACCTCGGGAACTCCGAGGGCAACCACACAGAGGCCCCTTGGCCATACGTGTTGGAACACGGGGTGCTGCTGGATCTTCCGGCTTGAAGAAGTTTTCATGATCAGTATGGGCTACAGTTTGGTTCAAAGGCGCTCAGCTCTCTCACTATCAAAACTGTTCCAGCACGCCTGCCCTTGGCCTTCACTAATTCCCACCAACCCATAGACTTCCAGGTAGCTCTGCTGTCAGAACTCCCTTATAATTCCATGGCTTTTCCAGGCAGAGCACCGCCCTCCGAGGGTTCTGCTGCCTGTACTTAGTATTTGTAGCTCAATTATTTACAAAACACACGGTGGAAAGCGGAAACCCTGCACTTTCTGCCACAACCACCAAAACCACAGTCCCGGGAGTGTTTTGGTGTTCTGCATACCAAGAATAATTAAACTCAGGGCTCAGCTCTGCTAGCCTGGCAAATGCAAAAACTCCCTTCGGCTCCCTTGCATGTTCAAGAACAGACCCATTGAAGAATTCGCTCGTTCGGTTTCTCTTGCAACCAGCTCCGCGCTGCCGGCGTACGAACAGGTTTTTGAACGGCACCAAACACTCAATGTAAATTCTCAGAACAGCAGTGTTTTACCCACTTCTTAGTCTCCAGCTTTGCGCAATGCAAACTTCCGTTTCTAACCTGTGGATGAGAGTGCTACGGAGAAAGAACACGGGGGTATGGTGAACTGGAGTTCTTGCAAGAGAGAAATCTCTTTGCTTTCGCACGGGGAGCAGACAGTAACATTCTAGTGACTCTGCACCAGCTAACAAGCATCAATAGGGTAGTTGTGAAGATCTAATTCCTCTTACCCCCAGGGACTGTATCATCACTCCTGCTATCATTGCCGTGCGAACAAGCCAAAGCCTGTCAGATCCCCAAATTCCTGCTTTCTGCCCAGAGCGAGCGCACGCACACAGAACTCATCAGCCCGCCCAGAGAGACCATTTTTAACTAATTTGTCCCAGTCTGGGTTTGAAAGCAAACGGTTACACGGATCTTTTTCAACAGAGCTCAGATCAAATACCTCTACTGAAACGAGAGGCGCACACTGATTGCAATATTTTTACAGATTGGTTTGTTTTTTCAGACTCAAATTCAAAGCAAGGGGTTCCCAAGACAGAAGTGTAAGGTCTCTCTTGCCACGCTGCATGCATAACTGGAGGCCTTTGGCAGCTTTCTCATAAGAAAATTGTCTACGGGGCTCTCTAATGCAGAGATTCTGCTGTTAGATTATTTTCCTTTGCCCCAGCCTTGAAGCAGGTTAATCCTCACAGGCTCCATTGACGCTGCCGTTTGATTTCTTGTATGTGCTCTCTGTATCAGCAGTACTCAGATCACCGCTTACTTTCAAGTCACTACTGGTAAGACTTGCCAACACTAACTCATGAAGTCTGGTCTATCTGCAGTTTTACAGGCTAAACAGTTGGCTGTATTTTTCCTCCTGTGCTGATTTTTGGAACCCATTGCAAAGGAAAAAGGAAATTCCTGAAATTCCATCATCTGCATTAGGACTTGTTTTGCACAAACTTGGACGGAGCTTGCTCCTTTGGGGCCAACTCATGCTTTCATGCTATTGCTGCAAAACGCCTGCACCACCGGATAATTTCTGTGGGGCAGGGCAAACTTACCCAGACTCCGCTGGTGAATGAAGAGCAATGGTGTCGAGCGCAGGGAAGCTGACATCGCTGCTGGACTGGCTTGGTTTTAAATGACTCTCCCCGCTGGAAGCGGGCGGCTCTTTTCTTTTCTTCTTAGCAAAAAAGTTCTTGAAGGTCTGAAATTTGGATTTTTTCTTTCCTGCAATGGGAGAGAACAAAACTTTACAAAGGGTGCAGGCTGAGGTGGCTCTGGATTACGCTCCATGCAAAACCGCAGAGTGATCCTTTGGAGAACTGTACGCCACAGTAACCCATTCATTTAACTGAACAACTTGGTAAATAATTCAGAGGTGGAGTCCTCTGAATGCAACGCTGTCATTCTTAGTTGGGCTGCCTGTGAAATATCACTACAAGAAGCAGATGGTTCCAATACTGCTTTAGGTTTCATTTTAGGAACACGGCTTATATAGAAAATACACCACAGACCCGCACATTGGCTGTGCAAATTGAGTTTGGCTTACCATAAAGGACAAAGTGCATTTTAAATATTCTAATGTCTTTTACTTAACTCTTGAGGTCTTCAATTAGCTTCATTTAGCCCTGGATTTTTCAGCCAATTTCATAAAAAGGACAGCATTGAAAGGGAAACCGACTAAATGTGGCCAAAAAAAAATATAAGGCTTTTAGAAATCCTAAGATCAAAAGTAAAAGTCTACCCAATTTAAAAAAAAAAGATTTCAAAGAAGATAATTGCTTTTAAGCATGTAATATTCTCCTGCAGCATCTGAAACCCCAAATCATTGGTGCACGACATATTCAACAGTGAAACGGGCTACAAGCAAAAGATGTCGCTTGGTTTTATTGTCCAAACTCAGAGAAGTACACAAAGTATCCAAGAGCATAAATAGCGAGAGGCATATTAGAGTCTTTTAAAATATTCTGTCGCTTATTGTGACCTAGTGCGGGGGTGCTGTCTGCTCTATAACCCAGTGTGCTATGGTGGTGCCTTGCTGGTTGCTGGGCTTGGGCAGTGGGTGACTTCCGCTGGCGGCTATTTGTAGCACGGCCCAACAGGACAGCGGATGAGTCACTAGGCAAGGGGCTCACAACCTGTCCGACAGGTCGCCTCCCAGGGAGAGAAACAAAGGGAGGAAGGCGGAGACTAACCCCTGTCTGGGGATTAGGGCTGGAAGAGAGTCAGTTTCTGTCCGGTATCATGGAGGAAACAGCCTAAGCAAGGGGCTGGGATTTAGGGGCCCAGTCTCCCCCATATCAAGGGGGGGCTGAGGCATCCTAGGCCTGCCCTGTAACCAGATTCCATCTGTGCTGTGCTGTATCCTGGAGAAGCAATAAACTCCCTCTATTCGACTGGCTGGTGGAGTCTGTCCGTGCCATTACGGGGGTGCAGGAGGCGAGGGAACCCCGAGTAGCCGTCACACTTACGCTAATCCAAGGTATTTTAAGGTGATAGAGTTTCGTTTGTTTCGCCGCTGCTTCTTTAGGATTGACTTTTCGATTGACAAAAGTCCCTTTAGTGAACAGTTTGGGGTTCTGGAGTCAAAACCCTTTGCACTAAGTAGCCTTAAACTCTACACCGGCATCGTTAGAATGCAAAAAGAGTTCTTGAGCTCTAACCATGGCTCAATTCATACTCCAGGCTAGCTGGGGTAATACGCAGCTGGAGGATTTCTTCATAAACAAGGCATTATTTCAGGACACATATTTGCCTTCTCCCAGCACTGAGTGAGTCAGCAATGCTTTGTCTCCGCGTGCGCCCGGCACGTAGGGCGATTTATGCCAGAGGCATTATTGGGCCTGAAACAATGCCACCACCCAGCTGCAACTTGTGCCAGACAAGAGTCACTTTGAGACAGACACAATGACTCCAGGGTCGATGCTGTACAGTCGCAAATAACAATGCTGTCACCCCCCTGCTGAGCTGGAGCAGATGCTGGGGGCTCGCAGGTTGGCTTCTGTCAGAGGAGAAATCGGTGACTTGGACACTGTGTATTCGGCTGGCGTCACTTGATTTATTTACTCTGAAACAGGGGACTCGGGGGCGGAGTAGCCACGGAGTGAATGGGACCCGGTGGCCCCATCCAATTGAGGGGTCCCACATCCCAATCCGCTCCAGGGAGCGGGACGAGGGTATGGGGGGCTTGCCCTGCTCTGGCCTGCACTCCTTCCAGGGATCAGGGAAAGCCCCCCCTCTCCCCCCCGGCAGAATAGCGGATGAGTAGAAGAAGCCCTCAAACTCTGACCTCCTTCCCCTGCAAGGGCGCTGGGCAGGTGGGGGTGGCACTGCAGATGGAAGAGGTGGGGAGGGCTCCCACTTGCTCTGGCCCAGGGACCCACAAACCCTTAATTCACCTCTGAGGGTCCCCGCCCTTTAAGGACAGAGTAGATTTGACCCTGTCCCATGTGTCCAGGGAAACAAAGGAAGCAGTCACGGGTAGGGAGGAAGTTTGTGTCTGGGACAGGGAAGATACAGGCTCATCTCCCAGTGCTGCCATAAGTACTGGTAAGAAGGACTGACGTGCCAAGTGCACTGCGACAGACCCGCCCCCCAAGCTTTAGGAAATGGACGTACGGACACGAATGCACGCAACTCAAAAGTGCTTGGGACCAATGGCATCATGTAACCCGTCAATCGTCGTGTCTTTATCGGCTGGGGGGGTTTTTTTTTTTTGGGCGTGTGTGTCATTCGTGTGTGTCAACTTAAGACATGTGGAGTGCTTTATGGGTTTTAAATGTGGGAATGACAATCAGCACGGGCGTTACCCTCGATGTCTTGATGACCAGCTGTTAAACGATCTCTTGAGTCCTTTAAGTCTGAGCAGTGGTTGGTCTGAGGAAGTCCTATGTCCACCCCCACTGGCCAGGTGACCTCCCATGCAAGAAGGGAGGAAGTAGGAGTGTGGGTCTTTGGCGGGCACACCCAGCAGAGTGAACCAGAGACCCCCGGGGAGGAGAAGATACCCCCGGTCGGAAGGCTTGGCTGGGAAAGGAACAGTTTTAGGGCGAGTTTGAAATAAGTTTGCACTGAGGATTTAGTGTTGATGTAGCTCAGCGTTTTCTGTTGTTTTATTTGTAACCTACTTCGCGCTGCCTGTTCCCACTTACTGCCACTTACACCCTATTGTCTATACTTAATAAAATTACTTTTACTTACTATCAAGCCCCAGAGTAAATCATTATTACTTGGGGGAGCCATTGGTGGGCACATCCCCCCTTTCATTGCTCAGGGGGCTTACCTAGATAATTCTTTTGGGGTTCTGATCCCATGTGGGGAGTGGTATCCCGGGAAGCTGGGCCCAAAATTGCATTGTCATTCGATCTGAAGGTGCTCCTTGGGGGGGGCACTGATTTCGGCTCTATGTCTCAGCTCTATGTCTCGGCTGGGGGGGAACCAGCAGGACAGGGTGGCGAGAAGTCCCAGAGAGCAGGAAGGTGAGTAGAAGTGGCCATGTCAACACCCCGGGAGATACCCCCAAGGGGACTTCTGTGACCTCACCCCATCACACGCACCACTACAGAAGTATTCTAAGTACGCTGCAGAAACAGAACTGACGCAGTTATAAAAAAACAAAAAGGACAAGTGCCAGTACTTATCCCATCTCCCCAACAGCCCCCCTTCAGCACTGAAATGTGCCCGGCGGCCTATCAGGCATTTCCAACCCCCACCCTACAAGGGGTGCAGCTAGCGGTCTTCATCTCACCAGCTAGGACACGGGTATTTGTCTGCCTGCTCTGCCCAGCCTGCCGTGACTCACTACCTGTACTCTGCTGGGCTGAGCCGCCATCTTCCTTGGCTAGTGCAATGACAGTGCTTCAAAATACCTAAGCTCCTTCTTGGGTACAAATGTGCTTATACACATGAGCACGCTGCATCTCCGGCTGTTGGGGCAACTTGGAGGCACAGAGCGGGAGCAGCACGGCCGTGCTGAGAGGGGCAGATGAAGGGCTGACACTTGACAGCCTCCCGGCCAAACCTCTCAGGATCACCTGTCAACAGCTCCAAGACCCACCCGTAGATCCCAACCGACTGGTTGGTGACCAGTGGCTTAGACGGTGATTAACAGCACCACCTAGCAACTCTCCATAGCAATCATGATACACAGCACTTTCCTGCTGTGCCTGGCCGCTTAAATAACCCTCAAAGCGCTGTAAGAGAGGAGCAGGTTGTATTAGACTCCTTTCACAAATCGGGTATCCAAAAAACGGCAGTCACTTGCGCAAGTGTAACTGCCACCAGGTGGATTTGAACCTGGGACCTCTGGAGCTGAGTATAGGAGCCTCTACCCCCTGCGCTAAAAGCCAGCTGGCTCCTAGACTGTGCTGTAGAGGTCTCTTGGTCTTAACTGTTGCTGTGGTCTCGGTGCCACTTGCATTGCTCAGTAACCACACTAGGGCTATGTCTACACTCATGGCTTCTTGCGCAAGAATCCACAGAGCATCTACACCGCCCGCCCGCTCTTGCGCAAGGAAATTTACAGTACGGCGTGGTAAGAGAGGGCTTCTTGCGCAAGAGCTACGCTCTTTTTTAAGCCCTCTTATGCAGGAGCTCTTGCGCAAGAGGGCAGTGTGGGCGCTCGGCAGGGATTTCTTGCGCAAGAAAGCCCTATGGCTAAAATGGCCGTCGGAGCTTTCTTGCGCAAGAGAGCATCCACACTGCCATGGGAGCTCTTGGCGCAAAAGCACAGCGCGCACATGGCAGCGTGGACGTTTTCTTGCACAAGACTTCTTGCACAAGAACCCTTGCGCACGATGTTCTTGCGCAAGAAGCCACCAGTGTAGACATAGCCTCGGTGTGTGGGTTACACAAGATGACACAAAGCCCAAACCTAAGCCCGCTAAAGTCAGCGGCAATTCCTGTTAACTCCAATGGACTTTGGCCCCGGTCCACAGATAGCCAGTGGCAGAGTTGGTAACAGAAGACAGGTCATGTTAGCCATTAAACCCCATTACCTCGCAAGCCACCCAGAAGTCTCCGTTAGGTGGTTCTCAGCCTGTCGTCACTGCATCACCAGTGTTCAGATGAATCATCAGCGTTCCAGGTGTGTCCCTCCCAACCACCTCGTGCACAACGTGTTATTCCAAAAAAAGCACCTAGATCCCATCGGTCTAAAATGACTTCCTCTGGGTCGAGGTACAGAGCACGAAAAGATAAAAGCAAAGTCTCCAACGAGCACAGTGTGCGCACGCCCCGATCTATCCATCCCCATCCGTTCATCTTCTCACCCGCTTCAGCGGCTGAACAAAATGTCTGAGCGCTGCACGAAGGCAAAGTCTTACAGTGGTCCCCAACCTTTTGGGGCTGACGGGTGCCTGGGGGCGGGGTCGTGCATGCGCCGCGCGCCTGGGGCGCAAGAATGGCTTGGACTGGCCCTGGTCACGTGGTGGGCACACATAAATGCCCCGGTGGGCGCCATGGCGCCCGTGGGCACTGCATTGGGGACCACTGTCTTAGATATTTAAAAGACATCATATGCAGAAAACAGCATCATTACGATTGCATTGCTATCGATGCACACACCAATGGTAATATGAACAGGGAGGGTCGCTTAGTGTAGGCTTACCAATGGCTTTTGCACTAGACCGGGGGTGGGCAACAGGTCCTCTGCAGGCCGGATCCAAGCGAGTTGATCTGGCCCGTGGAGTCCCTGTCACTCCCCCACCCCCAGGCCAATCGGGGCTAGGGACCAAGGAGAGCACAACGCTTCGAGTCAACCCTGGCTGTTGAATCTAAGCACCATGTGCCCAAAGGCACGGACCGAGAGACTTCATGCACTCCCCCCGCCCCCAGGTCAATCAGAATCTGTGGGCGGGGAAGCACAGAAGTATCCTAGCCCCGCCCCTTCCGCCTGAGGCCCCGCCCCTTCCACAGCGGCCCAGGGCCACTTCAAAAATTTGTGAAGTAGCACTCGGTCAAAAATGATAGCCCACCCCTGCACTAGACTAAATCGGAAGCCCAGGGATGTGTGGAGGGTCAGGTTCCTGAGCTAGTGGATCACACAGTAAATTATGAAAGCAGGGGTGAAACAGAGTAAACTCAAGAAGCTGTCGTGACTATGACTGCAAAGGATAAAGCCAAGCAATTTCTCCCCTGATTTGTTTTAAATCCGTGTGGTAAAGAATTTCAGGATGGAAGCCATGAAAGTAGCTGGTCAGCCTCCAACACTGAATAAAACCTCAGTCATTACATGAGCAATACATACTCCTCGAATGCAGTTCAAAACTCAGAAACCACGATCAGTGCATTAACCATCATTTTAACATTGGCCGGGTCTTGCACATCAGCACAAAAAGCCATTCCAGCACAGTTACGCCCAGCCTAATTGAATTGCTCCAGCTGTTGAAACAAAACGAGAAACAGGAAGCTCTTCCCAGAAGCTCACAGGAACTAGCAGAAAAACCACTTTGAGATAGCCCTTTCCTATGTGACCTGTGTATTTAGACCAACAGCCCTCTGGAGCACCACGTCTGTGTTCTTGTCTTGAGTTTGGAGAGCATTTGGCACTTCAGATTGTGTACTGTTTATGTTTGCTGTTCTCAAGCTGATACATGTCACCTATGAGGCCTTGCGGTACTGGTGAAGTAATCAAATATTGCACTGGGTTCACAAAATGCTTTATGATTCATGTGCGAGATAATCTGTGTCTGTACATCATACAGTGAATGCCCAGCAAGATAGGTTCTAGAACTTCTGACTAAGGCTTCTAAAAACTGCAGTAATACCAATAATAATAATAATAATAAAGGAAGATTTAACCACGTAAATTAAAAATCCAGCACAGAGAGGTGAAGGAATCCCCAAGTTAACATAACTGCATATAAAACCATTCATCAAAACAGTTTATGAATGATGGCTCACAATTTTTGAATGCTTGGGATTGGCAATATTGCAATGCAAAACATATTTTTTCCAGATAAAATTTAAAGGGCTAGTGTCAGCTTTAAAAAAATCGTACTTCTACCTGAAAACGTATGGGCTGTTAAAATTGCAAGTAACTACTGTAACTGACAGAGGAGAAAACAAATGCTGTGTTCTGTTTTTTCAAGTTCATTTACTTTGTGCCTTTCACAGCACTCTGAATACAGCCAGTTTCATTATTTTCGCTCTCTGGTCAGTATGTGAAATAGAGCCCCCTTGTTGTTTGTGTGATTCTTCTACATAGCAACAGGGGAAAGAAAAACACTTTTTAAATAAGAAAATGTGATGGTAAAATGACAAAAATTGGTAGGAAGATTCAGGGGCATGGGAAACACCTGAAATGATCAGTATCATCATGAGTAACCCTGCCCTCCCAAAATCTTGAAGCTGGTTTTAAAGAAATCATGCAGTGTAAAGCAATAATGATGAGTGTTTGGTGTTTTTAATTGCCTCCTGGATTTGGGGCTTTTAAAGTTCATTAAAGCCACATTTGCAAGATTTTCCTGCCAGCCTGGAGGATTGGAAAAAGACGGTTCCCAGTCTCGTAACTGGTGTTCTTCAAGATGTGTTGCTCATGTCCATTCTACGTTAGGGGTGTGTGGTTGCCAGATGCACTGATGCCAGAAGTTTGTCCTTTAGCAGTACCCATAGGGGAACGATTCTGGTGAATTCTGGAGTGGTGCCCTTATAGTACCATGCACTTCTCCCCCACTGCCCGCCCCCCCAAGCTCAGTTCCTTCTTGCCAAAAACTCCAACGGCAGGGGAGAGAGGGCAGGTTGCAGATGGACATGAGAAACACACCTCAAAGAACATAACTGGTGTCGTCTTCTTCGGGCGCTTGCTCACGGCCATTCCAAGGTTGGGGATTCCCGAGCAGTGAGCCTGGAGCCAGGTGGGAGTGCAGGAAGATGATGCTTGTAACAGCACTGCCAGCGTCGTCACTGCTCCGCTGGGTGAGGGCCTAGCGAGTTGTGAGCGCGTGTACTGAAGACCCTGACATGTCTACCGGGTTGGGACATGAGTACGGAATGTAGCCGACCATGCCTGCACCCCGTGTCGACTGAGCCTTTACCGCTGGCGGTGGCGGGATATGCGCCAGGTCATGACACATCTTGAAGTAGAAGGTAATCCCATTGGAGATCCTCGGTAAGGAGACCGGGAGGCTCTTCATCTGCAGTCACTACCAAGAGCTGGGTCGAGTCCCTAAAGGGCCTTATACGTGCCAGGTGAAAAGCCAGGGCATGTCCAAAGCACGCAGATTCTTTTCCTTGCTATCGGCATGTGGCTTAGGGTCGCCCACTGGGAGGAAGATAACCTGATGGAATAAAAACACCACCTTTGGCGAAACCGTTTTTCCTGAAGGTGGTTGAGAGCCGAACCTTGTCTTTAAAAAAATATTGCGTCCGGTGGTTCCAAAGTCAAGGCTTTCAGCTCTGACGCCCGTCTGGCCGACGTCACCGCCACAAGGGCGATCTTCCGTGACAAATGAGTCAGAGCGGAAGAGCCCAACAGCTCAAGGGGCAGTCCCGTTAACCTAGAGAGGCCCAAACTGAGATCCCATCGGAGGACAAGGTCCTTGAGTGGAGGGAAGCGCCTTTCACAAGGTCTCTCAAGAACCAAGCCCACATCTTGTGCGAAAACACCAACCTGCCGGGAACCAGAGGGTAGAATACCAAAATGGACATTTGATGAACCCTGATAAAGGACAGGGACAACCCTGACAAAAGACCTTCAGAGGCAGGTAATCCAGGATGGTCTGCAAGGATGAATCTGTGGGGGGTATGCTCCACTTGGCCTCCACAGAGAGAGAACTTCATCCATGTCACCAGGTAAGTTGCCCTAGTAGAGGGTTACCTGCTGCTAACAGGACCTCCTGCACTTCTTCCCTAGAGCACACCTGCTCTTCCAGGTTCAGCCATGCAGTAGCCATGCCATGAGGTGGAGGGATAGGTGGTTGGGATGCAGGAGATGACCATGGTCTTGCAACAGGAGATTTGGGCGAATGGGCTGTGCCCACGTGCTGAGGTGATCAAGATGACTCAGACCTTGTTCCTCTCGATCTTAGCCAGGGCTCTGTTAACCTGGCAGGAATGACTACCTCAGACTTCCTGATCCAAACAGGGGAAAGGCATCAGCAAGACCTCCATCGTCAGGACTTCACAGGCAGCAGAATTGACTCTTTGCTTTTTGCCTCATGGTGAAGAGTTCCGCTTGGGGAATCTCCCACTTCTGGAAGAGCATCCGAGCCACCTCCAAGTGGGGGGACCATTCGTGGTGAGGTAACGAAGATCTGCTGAGGTGATCCACCAATGCGTGCTCGACACCCAGGCCCGCAGAAGGAGATGCCTTGCTCCGCTTCCCCCCACTACCCGTGAGAGTTGGGTGGGATGGGCCCCCGCTGCTGGTTGGCCCCTCACACCCAGGGTATTTGGGGGGGGAATGTGCCCCTCGTATGCCTCTGCACGTTGCCCCTGACCCCAAGAGGGGGAGACTAAAGCCTCAGCCTCACCGTTTGGTGAGGGACATGGATGGGCAAAGCTAGAGTCCAAGTGCTTCAGCTCCAAGTATAGGGGGCCTGAAACCCTGAGCTCCATCGAAGATGTAAGTCTGTGGGCTCCCACCTCAGCTCTGAGAGGTGGGACTCAGGCCCGGGGCTGACGGTTCTCTTGGGATTTGGCTTCAGCTTAGACTTGCTGAGGGTGGGGGCCAAACAGCCACCCTCCATATCCCCATTAAAACAGGGTCACAGCCGACTTTGTGGTCCCAACCCCCAATCTGGGACTAGACCGAAGGATAAGCAAGTAGATGGATGTCTGTAGCAAACACCGATGGCTCCTCCACCACGAGGAAGTGCTACAGTGGGGCGATGGCCCGACATCTCTTTCCTACCCGGGAGTTACCTCTCCAACCTACACCCAGGGCCAGATTCCAAGAGATCCGGTCACAGTAGATACAGCCTGTTTCCTGGCCATGCAGCCTGTTTGCTAGGCACCCAGCACCAGAATGTGAGACAAATATCCTCCCCAAACTGATGGCTCTCCAGGACTCCCCATTGGTTTCCCCAGCAAAATTCCCTTGTCTACACAGAGTGGCTCTTTCCATTACAAAAACTCACGAGACTCCAAAGAATAGGGCAGCCACCGTCCCTTTTAAAGAAACAAGGCTTGGTTTCCAACAGGGTGCCCGGTGTACTATCCACACGGGGTGCCCAGTGTACTATCCACACGAAGAGCATCTGCTTACCTGAACACTCCTCGGTTGCCTCCCCTGGCTCAGGTGTCCGTACAACGTCCGTGGGCCCTGTCGCCATGACGCAGTGCCTGAAATACAAGACAGAACCACTTGTTACTTTTTAGTCCGTGCGCGCAACAACGTTAGAGACACAGATTCATTCGACCCAGCAAGGAAACTGAACGTGGCTGAATGATCCCGGAGACTAATCACCAACAGGGGCTTGCACAGAGAGTTTGCGCTCCAACCGCAGACTTTTCTTCACCTTGCCACAACAACCTTCTCTCCCCGCAGTGCTTCTCCACAGTGCTGCCCTCTTTTCAGGAAGGCAGGACCAGCGCTTGTCCTAAAGGAAAGCGCTATTAAGCACGCTTACCTATGAGCAGAACACGCCCCAGCCTCCAAATACTGAAATCTTTACAGCTGCTATTTACTAAACACGCCCAAGGCCCTGGCTGTGTTGATTTAGTTGGGATTGGCCCTGCCTTCAGCAGGGGGCTGGACTTGATGACCTCCAGCTCTACGATTCTATTCTAAGAGAAGAGCGGCTGAAAATTCACATCTTGTCCTATGGGGGTCTCCCCACAGCAGTCCCCCTGCTATCCTGTCAGCATTATAAAAATGAATTCAGCATCTGCACTGAGCTAGCACCCTCGGCTCCCCTACATATGTGAAAGTGGAGTTCAGCTGATTGCACTAAATCCAAAACAGATTTGATCCATCAGCTTTTAGCCACGAGCTTCAAAGCCTTGTTGCAAATAGGCCTATTGATCTAGTGGAAAGCATCATTCCCCCCTGGACTAAAACAAACATTACATCGAGCTTTTAAGATCATACAAAGTTAATTTTCCAGGGCTCCTTCAGCTACAAAAGAATTAAAACAGCAGCCCACAACAATTGCAGTTCAAATGTCAAATAATATAAATATGCCATTTTTAGCAAGACAGCGCTACAAATAAAAAAAAATCTTAACCTTTGTTGTCGAAGATAAATGATACAATGTGCCCGAATTGGAGTAAAAAAATCTTTATTTATAAATAGTAATATCCATTTAGTCGCAAAATTCTGCTCCCATTGACTAGAATACACTCTTTATTTAGCCATTTTCTATTTCAAATTTTTAAACCAACTTTACGGATAGGTAAACTAATAGAATTAAGCCCTAAATACCAAGAATCTTTAGAGAGCACACCAGCTCACGGAGGTCAATAGGAAAGTCCTGTATTAGACACTGATTGAATTAAACGTTTTTTTAACAACAGCTGGTTTGAGGAGGTCTTCAAATATTTGTTAGACAATAATACTAATTGAATGCTAATATGCAAGTCCTGGGGATTACAGTGGATGAGAAGCTGGATAGAATAAGAACATGGTACCGTTGTAGCCAAGAAGGGCATTAGGGTGCATTAGGAAGAGCATTGCCAGCAGATCTAGAGAAGTGATTTAATCCCCTTTATTCGGCACTGGGGAGGACACATCTGGAGTACTGCGTCCAGTTCTGGGCCCCTCCTTACAAAAAGGATGTGGACACATTGGAGAAAGTGCAGTGGAGAACAACAAAAATGCTGAGGGGGCTGGAGCACACGACCTATGAGGAGAGGCTGAGGGATTTGGGTTTGTTTAGTCTGCAGAAGAGAAGAGCGAGGGGGGATTTGGTAGCAGCCTTCAACTACCTGAAGAGAGGTTCCTAAAAGGCTGGAGAGAGGCTGTTCTCAGTGGTGGCAGATGGCAGAATGAGGAGCAATGATCTCAAGTTACAGTGGGGGGGGATCTAGGTTGGATATTAGGAAAAACTGTTTCCCTAGGAGGGTGGGGAAGCACTGGAATGGGTTCCCTAGGGAGGGGATGGAATCTCCATCCCTGGAGGTTTTTAAGTCCTGGCTTGACCAAGCCCTGGCTGGGATGATTGAGTTGGGGTTGGTCCTGCTTTGGGAAGGAAATTGGACTGGATGATTCCTGAGGTCTCTTCCAACCTCAATACGCAAATTGCGTATCTTATTTCAACTGTATTTTGAAAGAACGCTCTACTTTGAAACATCCCTTCACCCTCATGGAACGAGGGTTACAGGACGCCAGAATAGCATGCCCGTTATTTCAAAAAAAATATTTCGAAAGAACAGGAGCGTTTCAAAGATGCGGGGTAGCTATTTCGGGATACTTCCGGTGTCCTGAAATAGTCCTGCTGTCTAGACGTTCTCTGTCCCTCCTCTTTCTTTTTCCTAATAATTCAATATGCTTTCTCTTCTGTAATGTCTACATTTCCCATGTATTCTGATGAAAGCAGCGATCAATAGGATTCATACGGATATGTGATACTGAAGGAAGGTTTGTCCTGTTCTTTTTTCTCCACTGCTCCTTGTCTAATGTCAATGTTTGTTACACGAGATTTTCTTCCAGATATTTAAATGAATTTCTATTTTAAATGAATGCATCATGAAAACGTTCAATAAAGTAAAACTGACACACATGCAGATTGTCAGATCTCAACTTATTTTTATAGAATGGGCCCGATGCTGAGTAATTTACAGCACTGCAAATTAGATCAGAATTTGGTGCCATGTTGATTTCACGCTGGCTAGCTTTTCCTGCTTAGTTTTCATCTGTTATACATTTATATAAACCACTTTATAATCTCGCCTGCCCGCTAAGAATCCTGCTCGAATTTCGTTAAATTTGGACTGGCATGCTTCTAAAGTGAAGGGTTTTTTTTCAGTTTGGTAATTCAAAAAACATTACAGCAACGCTTGCAGAGCAGTGTATCGGATAGGCAGCATTTGCAATCAAATAAGCTCCTGCATTTACCCAATCTCGCATCTGGACTGACCGAGGCAAATGGCGATCAGGTGACTTATTCAAGGGCACATCAGGAATCTGTGACAATGGCCCATTTAGTGCTACAACCAGCACTCGATCAAAGAGCTGCTAACGACCTAAGCAGGAAAGAGTAAATTTGGGGGAGAGAGGAGGTATAACAGAATTGTTCTAGGCCTTCAATGAACAAATGTTGAAGGAGAGGCTGAGGGGGGATATGATAGAGGTCTATAAAATCATGAGTGGTGTGGAGAGGGCGAATAAATAAAAGTTATTTATTAGTTCCCATAATAGAAGAACTAGAGGACACCAAATGAAGCTAATGGGTAGCAGGTTTAAAACGAATAATAGAAAGTTCTTCATACAGTGCGTAGTCAACCTGTGGAACTCCTTGCCAGAGGAGGCTGTGAAGGCTAGGACTATAATAGAGTTTAAAGAGAAGCTAGATAATTTCATGGAGGTTAGGTCCATAAAAGGCTATTAGCCAGGGGATAAAATGGTGTCCTTGGCCTCTGTTTGTCGGAGGCTGGAGAAGGATGGCAAGAGACAAATCGTTTGATCATTGTCTTTGGTCCACCCTCTCCAGGGCACCTGGTGCTGGCCACTGTCGGCAGACAGGCTACTGGGCTAGATGGACCTTTGGTCTGACCCAGCACAGCCATTCTTATGTTCTTATGTAAATATTCAAATTAAAAACACTGAGCTCTACTTGTTAAAACATTGCAACAAATATTTTTTCCAACTCAGAATTTAAGAACCTAAGTCGAGCAGGGTTGTAACCCACTGGCTATGTTGTAAATGAACTGTGCTTTAGAAGAAAAGGGCGTCAAAGATCATGGGGAACGCACCCTGGACAGTGGGTGCCTGGGATGGTAATGTGGAGAGAGAAAACGACAAGCTGTCGATAGAGAGGCATGTGAGAGTCCAGGCACTCATTGATTGAATCCTTGGAACGCCGCCTTTTCTACAGCGTAATGAGAGCTGACAGACACATCGCTGAGGCTGGGGTATCAATACAGTGTCTGGATCGTCACCGGCCTTCCAATCAGCTGTACTGACCATGTGCAACGTGTGAGCTTTTCCCACGGCGCTAACCCATTAGCCAAAGGTTTTTTTAATGCAATCTGTATATTGATTTTTGGTGATAAACATACCAGGTCAAATAAAGGCACAGCCATGCGCAGCAACTTTTTTAATCCTCTTTGGGTCATGAGACACGGGAGGGGGAAGGAATTCCAAGAGGGACACAGCACTGATTCTCTCTAGCGCAGCGCGAAATTTCTCAGCTGGCACCCGGGACTAACGGGAGAGTCCTGGGCCCATTGCGCACTTTGGGGGACAAACCAGGACTGAGAGCAATCGGGTGAAGATTTCCCCTCTCCTCTGACACAGCAGCAGCAGCGCCAGTCCACACATGATACTACGCTGGGACACAGGCTTGCCAGACCCCAGTAGTGGCTGGATTCTCTCTCTGTGGGGATGGAAGGGTTGGTGCATGTACATAGTTACAGAACCACCAGCCCTGTCTTAGATCCTCTTTCAATTTGCACCCCTCCCTCCCCCATATTAACTGGTCTCTCCCCCACTGCAGTGTAGCAAACCACAGTGCAACAAAAGATGCTGGCCCCTTGCGAGATCTCTCAGGAGCCAGCCAGCCACAACCTACAGAGAGAACTACAGGGAGAACTTCTCTAGTCTGGCACTCTCTGGTCCAGCAACATCCGTGGTCCGGCATGATTTCGGTTAGCTGGATGTGCCATTATCATGGGTGTAGGCAAATTTCCTGCGGTCCCATAAAGTTTGTTTACAGCCACCCGCAGCGTTCCCTGTAAGCTGAGCGCTTGGGCGGCCACTCAGGAGAGAATCAGGTGCTGCCCAGCTGATTAGCAGAGAGCCCACAGCTGCCCAAAGCCGGTAACGTGTGTTTCTATAGGTGGTGCACATCTGTCCATTCCCTGGTGCACATAACAAAATGTATTCCACACATAGATGGAAAAAAATAGAGAGAACACTGGCCACCAGACCTGGCTCTCAGTGTTCTGTGCAGTTATCTAACTCTAATTGATCCCTAAATGTCTTCTCAGAGTCCAGTAAGCACTGGAAGCGTTGGTGATGCTGCTAGACAATATTGATCTCCCGTGGTTTGGTAAATTCTCTGAGCTGGCACCGGTCAGGTCCCCAGGGTGCTGGACTAGAGGGGGGGGGCATTGAAAAGATTAGGGATGTAAAAGTATAGTCGATTAACCAATTAACCGATAAGCAAAAGCTTATAGACTAC